GTGACGTGTTAGTGATGGCTGTTAGTAACGTGCATGCTGGGGGCCTCATCCCTGACATTCCTACATGGCCAGGCCATCCGGACAAGGCGGGGGTTAGCGCGGTCGACGTCGAGCCTCGGGACGGACTCCCCACCTATTGTCAGAATTACTATACTACTCGCGATGCGCTCTGGTATACAGTGTCGTCTCGTTGACTCCATCCTTAGCCCGAGTCGACACCCAACACACCGCTCCAGTATCCGGGCGAAAAATAGATGCCGTTCTCTCAACCGCCAAGTTCTGACCAGCTGATTTCCATCGTTGTGGCGTCTTCATTGCCAGCTGATGTGCTGGTAGAGCTTGTTCGCCCACCATGGACACATCAATAATTCGGATTGGAGCTGACTATATGCGCGTAAAAGGACAGATATCAAGGCTACGAGGAGACGTCCCTGGAGGTATGATGCATTATATGGGATTAGAGTCAGACTTGCAGGAATGCGGGTAGGACGTGCCTATCAGGTGGGGTCAACATCTGCAAACGACCAGGTGTTTCCTTCGGCAGTCTTGCGAGATCAGTGCAGCAAAGCCAAGACAACGTATATTGAGTGGCACCAGAATGGGGTGATACAGCAGTTGCAGCCAACAGCTAAGAGCTCAACGCATCGATGAGCAGTGTTACCATCTACGCTCTCTACGTCCATCGGTTGAAGGCCTTCTTGTAAGATTCCAAGCAGCACAGAACACTTCAGCGTGGGTGAGCGACGGACAGGTGAAGTAGCACAGCGACAAGGCCTCGAAAGACGACCCGCGGCGCACCGAAGGACAACGGTAGACGCCAGTGGCTTTGGCATTCGCCGGGAGTCCACATTTAGCCCAGGCGTTAAATACTTATGTTACATGTATGGGCAAGATGAGCACGACTGCCTTCCACTCGGAGAGCGGCCTTGGCCATGGCCTCTCAAGATTATGATGTTATCATGCCTCATACGAATTATGTTCTTGTCACAGGTGCTGCATCAGGCCTAGGTCGCACCTTTCTCGAGCACTACGCCGCGCTCGCGGGCCACGAAGTAACTGGGATCGATGCGCGACCATGGCCCGAGGCGGCGGCCTTCCCAGCCTCGGCGCGGTTCGCACAGGTCGATGTCACGGACGAGGCGTCCGTCAAGGCATTTTTGAGTAGCTGCACTGGTAAGGAAGTGGCCAGCGACCGTACGGACGATGACGGAGCGGCAATGTAGCTTTCGACCTCGTCATACACAGCGCCGGCGTCCGCGGACTCGTCCCCGCCGTAGAGGACGCGCTCCCCCACGATGTTGCCGCAGCAGAGACGCTTGCGGTTATGGATGCCGCGACGATGTTGCGCACGTACGAGGTCAACGCCGTCGGCACGTTCACACTGCTCAAACACCTCATCCCCCTGCTGCGACGGGACGCAGCGCGGCCGCCGCGGGTCGTCGCCATGTCGTCGCGCATGGGCAGCATCTCGTACAACACTACGGGCGGGGCGTACGCGTATCGCGCGAGCAAGGCGGCGCTGAATGCGATTATGAAGAGCTTCAGCATCGACGTGCCGGAAGTGTGTTTTGCGGGCGTGCATCCGGGCCGTGTGGAGACGGGGCTGGTGAAGACGAGGGAGGAGGGCGCGATCACCACGCAGGAGAGCGTAGGGACGATGGTGGATGTGATTGAGAGGCTGGGCAGCGAGGGGGGGCTAAAGAGTGGATGCTTCGTGGATCGCTGGGGCAAGGCCATTGGGTGGTGACCTTCCTGTGTGATTTCGTGAGAGGCCGTCTGGTGGGCCACGGAGTACCCTCAGATTGAGGAAGAGTGCTGCCCTTGCCAGAGACGGTCTGCCGCGTTCGAGGTTCCATTGTATGAGAAGACGTAGGCCACATGAACTCAGTACGCGTCCCTGTCTTGCAACGGCATGATTCAGTAAGACGTCCGCAGGCATGGTTAGGCACTCCAGAGCCGTAGTCTGTATCAACTCAATACCTGTTGAGAACACGGGTGCTTGTCAACCAATGTCCAATTTCAACCACGAATGAAGCACTCACAGACTGCGGTTGGGCCTAAAAACGCCGATTGTCGCAGTCGAAGCCTGGCCAGAGTTCACATTGCTCTTCACTTTCAGGTTACCATGCATATATATGACCTTCAGCAAGCCTTGGTCATGTATGGCTTCTGCGGGTGACCTCCCATGTAACTCCTGAGCCAGAATGGACACGCCCCCTGAGATCATCTCTGTGCAAGGATCGACAAATCTAAGCTGACTGCTGCTGACTCGGCGAATGCCCCCATCTGTTCTGTTCAAGATGCCAAGGTATCAAACTGCGCAACTCTGGAGACTATCAAAAGTGTGTTTACGAAGGCGCATAGCAAGCCGCCGCGTTCTTGAATTCCAAGTCAGCCACCCGTTACAACAACCACGAAGTCTATGTACTTACAGATGAGTTGGGAGCGGAAATATCACCTCCGTTTCCTGCTCTCTCCCTCGGGCGCGACAACCCCGCTCTCGAATTGGAACACACCCGTGGCCTCCAGGCGTCGGACTAGCACATCACCGAACGCTGTCGCGGGTGTCAGCAAGCCTCCCTCTTGCGCTCGCCGCGGCAGCGCCTGACGCTCCAGCGCGAGTGCGAGTGCGCACTCCGAGATCATTTCTGACGGGGTTGTGAGTGGACTGTGGGATGGCGGAAACAGTTTACTGACTGGAAGTGAGAAGGTAGCCGGGGTCGCCCTGCCCGCGGATGACCGTCTTGACATGCACCGCTGGGATGCCCGGTGCCGGCGCGGACTGGGAGTGGTTTACAATCTCGAAGAAGCCGGTCTTCATCTGTCTGGGACCCGGTTCGCATCAGCTATTGCAGACGCATGCAAGGAGGTTGTATACTCTTCGGAGGGTCCCTCACCGGGTGAGATAATCAGTTTCTTGAATAACCATCGGAACTATGCAGCCGACTCAGCGAGGGGCGGTCTAGCATTGGGAATGCTCTAGCCCACCGGAGGCGCAAACAGCGCCAGTGCAGACACTATAGTGAACACCAAGCTTGCACTGGCGACACCCAGCCATCCCAGGACACCCGTCGCAGTCCAAGCCTCCAGGCACTCGTCATATGTGAACTCTGGGCCATACAAAGCTCGCACCGTCTGCTCCTCCGCTGGACTTGGCCCTTTTGCAGCGGCTGCAACGACGTTGAGCGCCCATGAGCGCTGCACTATCGCACGATTGCCCGCGGCCATGAACCAGAACATCGCATACCGAGTCGGCTCTGAGAACGGTACTTTGTACCAGAGTTTATCCCTCGAGCCCGACTTGCCCTGCACTGCATGACGTTGTCAGTTCTCTTGCACAATGGAGGCATCGCGAGGCGGCGCACCTGGACAAAGCGCGTAATCTGCATTCGCCTCGCTGATGTTTTTGAGAGGGATATTCTCCGCCATCGCTAGCGCTGATGCCAGCGTCCCGCCAGAGATGCTGCCATTTGCGCGGTAGACCGTGAGCGAGTCTCCGAGTGACGCGTGCAGGCCTGCGGCTGCCTTGAGAGTCTTGTTCGAGAGGAACACAGCGAGGTCAGCCGGGACGGAATCGAAGGCGCACGAAGGGACGAGGACGACGCCCGCTTTTGCGGCGATGTAGTCGTATCTACGGGCGTGTAAGCGACAGAGAGTACGTATATGCACGCGTCTCACTTGATGACCATCTGGCGGATCCAGGTTGTCTCTCCGCAGAGGTCGACGTAGTGTCTCCCGTGTTTCAGACATGCACTGTGTACATATTAACACCGCGTAAAACCTGCATACGAACGTCGACACGCACGCGACGACTGCCTCCCCCCAAAAGATGTACGGGCCTACCGTGCTGATGACGACACGCGCGCTCTTGACCGCCTCCTCCAGTTCGTCCTGTTTCGTGACGTCGAGCCGCACAAGCCGCACGCTGTTTTCGAGTGAGCACTGTTTCTTGAGCGCGTCAAGCTTCGCTTGCGAGCGTCCCGCAACACTAAACGTGAACGTCGCGCGTTGCGGGTGGTGCGCGAGGTAGTCGGTAATCTTGCGACCGGTGAAGCCTGTCGAGGGGGTCAGCGTAAGCGCGACATGAAACTGTATGCTCACCAGTAGCACCGAGGACGATGAGGTCAACTGCATCCATGATGTGATTATTTGAGAACTGAACAGTGTGTCAGACACTCAGTCGTGGGTATTGAACACTCGACTGTATTAGATCTACCTGAACAGTGTGTCAGACATTGTATGGTAGGTGAGTTAAGTACTGTAGGTGAAGCTCTGGGACGTTCTCACCTCAGTCGTGGGTAACACTCGACTGAAGGATGAGGGAAAGGAAGAGGAGGACGAGACGAACCACCCCCGGCGGTCTGCCACCTGCCACGTGGCTGAGATCGAGATTGCGCGCCGCAACCTCAACAGACGCGACGCGATCTCACAGTGCGTATCGTACGTATAGTAGGTAGCGCGGGGGAGAGTGTTTCGCTTGTATGTAGTATGTATCATAATCTGTCATGTAGTATCATAATGGGTTGTTAGATCAAAGCTTGTGATCATGTCTCCCCTCTTCATTGGTGCCACAAGTCATTGCATATCCGAACTCAAATCTTTCCACTACCTGTGTGTACGTCTGATCAGAATCATCAGTACTACTTGGTGAGTACTTGGTTGCGCTGACTGTGACTGAATGTTAGGCCCAACTTGCAGGTTGTCATCCTGCTCCAGAGACTGTGCAGCTATTCGCTGAGTGTTTGCGCGTGCAATCAGCTTGCGAAGCTCGAAAAGAGCTTCATCTACACATGGTTCTTCTTCATGGACGTAATCGGGTCTTTGAGACAGCAACCTTTCATGAATGATGTTGCAACAACATAGTACCTTTCCAGCTAGTACTTAGCGACTAAGACTCCGTACATTTGCGATGTTGGACAACCCGGAACTGTAATGGCAGGACATCGCCACGGGCCATGGAGGACTGTGTGGACACGACCTTGTATAAGAGAAAAAAGGTGAGGTACTACCAGGGTTCGAACCTGGGTTCCGGGAATGTTGACAGACGATCAAAATCCCGAGTGATAACCACTACACTATAGTACCCTATAACGGTATCGGTTATTATCAAATCAGAACAGAACTGGAAAGTATTGTAGATGCAAACTTGAATGAAAGTATATCATAAGTTAGTTACCTCGTGCAGAAACGCCACCATGTCCCGCTACAAGCTCGTCTTCTTCACGCCAACCGCGTCGACACAGACCATCTTGGCGCACCTCTTCGCACAATTCCCCCGACACGTAGGGCGCATCGGGCTCTACGATGGGTGTGCGTTCGTCAGCCGCGGCACTGGTCGGTCTTGCGGCACTCTTTTCTCTCGCGGTCGCTGATCTCCGGACATGTCATGCCTTTGCCAATGCTACTTACGCATATGCGACTATTCTCCGCGGTGATGGCGGTGGTAAATATGATGGGCGGGCAGGCCAGTTCGTCCCGCAGGAGGGCGCGCACCCCGCGATCGGGAAGGCAGGTGAACCTGAGCGCGTCGAGGAAGACCGCGTTGAGGTCGTCGTGCACGCCTCTGCGCATCCTGCGTCTGGCACGGACGCGAACAAAGGCCTGGATGACGGCGTGGAGATGCACCGGGTGCTCGAGGAGCTGAAAAAGGTGTGTACCATCCCTGTGCGTAGAAGTCATCCTGACGGCACCGGACAGGTGCATCCGTACGAGGAGGTGGCCTACGACGTGTACAAGCTAGAGCCTTTCTAGTGTCGGCGCTTGCAATGGTCCTTGGCCTCCGCGAAGCCCGTACCCGGCGTAGAGTGCCGTGATAGGCTGATGCCAATGGTGTTCTATCTGCACGGTGAACCCCAGATCCTGTGGGGCTGCTCGATTGCTACCGAGCGCAATCTTTGGCCATGCAATGTGCCGGCTCTTCATGGTGTCTGCTATGGCGACGCCCGCTAGGGCCCCTGACAATTAGTGGAGAGGCCTGATCCCGAACTCTACTCTTGTCCGGACGCGCCCCAGGCCTCAGAGCATGTACTACGCGCTACGGGACGAGGCCTCACACACACACCGCGACCAAGCTCGGCGGTCGGACGCACATCGCCTCCTTTACGTCCAGTCGTGCATTAGGCCTCCGCCTGCCCGACACCCAGGTTTGTCCGGGCGGGATGAGGCCCGTAACCTACGTTCGCGCGGCTTTTGTCCAGATGATGACCCTGGCCAATTGTCAGAGGTCCTCGCCCGTCTGATTGGCCGACCACAATTGCGCCGTTCACAAGAGAAGCCGCATGCACATGCGGACTTGTCAGACCTCCCAGCTGCTGATGCAGGGTGGCGGTGAACGTTAACCTTGCTACCACGCCTTGCCCAAGCGCGTGTATGGGTCCGCGTAAGTATACACTAGCACTCTTGTGGCGTCCGCTAGCATGGGTTTGTTGGTCAGCGGCAAATCTTGGTATCACTGCGCAACAACTGTGCGCCGGAACGAAAGCTATAAGCGTTTCCTAGTCTCGGTCCAAGAACGTCCACAGTTTGTGTCGAACTCAAAGCGTCTTCCAGGCTCTTGTCCCTCGGGCACACCTTCCGCATCGATGTAGAAAGCGGGGTCCTCATGAATGGATGCGAAATGAGTGAGAGACATTTCCTCGTGGTACACGACATTCGTACAATAGGCATGAGTAGCAAACAATCCTACGTGCTATGAATAACCTACAAATACAAATGTTAGGATACTGGTAATGGTGAGAGCTTATGTCATGTCGCGGGAACGATGGCGAGACGGGTGCAGTGTTGAACGGGAGATAGTAGCGGACGGCTGGCGCGCGCGATGTGGATGAGTACATGCGCTCCGCGCCGGCGCGCCAGGGAGTCCAGCGGTCCGACATAGCTGGTGCGCTCTGCACTAGTGTTTGGAGCTCTGAGAGGATGTCCTTTGGAAACATACAAAGCGCGAACACTCACTGCTAGTGCAGCGTATGGTTGCTAATGAACGCGCAGAGTGAGCCTAGTGGCTGCGGACAAAGCTGCACACTGCGGTCAGAAGGGAGGGGGGACGATAGAGGTTAGAGTACGGACGTACGATTCGAAGACAGCGGCGATGGGTGTGTCATTCACGCGCAGCGCGACGATGGTCGTCGCGATGGTCGCGACTGCACTCGCGAGACCGAGCGCGGTGAAGTAGTCCCTGCGCGACGCGGACTCGCCGCCGAGGGTCGGGTGCTCGATGATGTTGAATGCGCGCATCGTTGGGGCTATGTCCAAGGATAGAACGGAGAAGAGGGAGAGTAGTTGGAGGTCGTTAGCGTTGACAGGGCGTGGTTATATAGACTCTGCGAGATGGGCCCAGCGTACTGAAAGCGTACTTATTGTGCGGGCCAGCCGGAGCTAGGTCATATTGTGTGGACAGGCCACCGATCGCAACTATGCTCGTGATTCCTCTGCGGACCCCGTCCACCGCCAATTGTCCGGGCGGCTCGGGGGTAAACAGCCCAGCTTGGCATGGCACGGAGGGTGTCCTGAATGTGGTGGTTGCGAAAGACTAGTTAGACACTATCACAACTACTCTTGGGCTTGCTGTGAATCTCGTTCTCAACGCGGTCTTGAAAGCCGAGTGGCCCGCCCCTCGTTCCTGAGACTCACGAGCCTCGAGGCGGAATCTCGGGCAGATTGGTACGCGGTACTTATCGGATGCATGCCGTACTACAATGGCAAGCCTTGAAGCTAACGTTAACCATGCACTAGCCAAATTCGCTCGACAGTAGCAATAAGCATTGGCTTCGGAGGGGGAAAGAAGTTCCAGTGCTAGTCTCAACCTAAGATATATAAGGCCTCAGTCATAGTGTCCCCATCACATGCCTGGCGCGTACGTCATAGGCACCGGTTTAGCGGGGATACAGCTCGGTGCCGAATAGCTCAGTTGTCATCACGAAACTGAAAAGTATGAATCCAAAGAAATGTTTCAGGATGTGGATGCAAATCTTCTTTCGGAACATCGCAAGGAATGATGCAGCATCCGACATGAGCAACTTTGTATAGATTTCATCACTGCTATGGCTTCCCACAGGTCCAAAATTGTAGTAACATACAGTGAATGCATATGTTCTATGATTCACTATTCGGATCACTCTTTTCTGGGTCTACTCATCACATTTCGGAGGGGCCAAACATAAAGGCCCATCCAAATCCCCAGGAACTCGAACTTTGCCCAAACAATCTGCTGAGTGTGACTTGTTTGGAAGGATGAAGCATCTTTATATCATGAACATACTCGACTACAGAACATGACATAGAAGGTATCCATCAGACATACGCTCCACTCGCTGGCAAGTCTCCATCCAGCCCCGAAGGACAAAGACGGAAGACGAACAAAACGTCCTCGCGTCGGCCAAAGGCCAACATGTGCTCTGCATAACGAGCGAGCGCGGTTGTCATCTACTGGACATGAAGAGTGTGGCACGAGTAAACGTGCGAGACTCGAGTTAGTACCTATAAAATAGATCCTAGCTGAGTATGTTCTGAGGAAACAACGTGTTCGTGAAGCAATTTTATAGGTGATTAGTTTAGGGCCGGTGGCTAGGGCCGACAAGCGGCCCGGGAATCGGCGAACTCCAGACGCCCGCCATGTCTTAACACGATTTGTAGCGGGATATTAAATGCATTGAGTGCATCATCATGTCCTCCTCCATTATCCTCCTGTTCTCCTGCTCCTCAATATTGTTGTTGACATCTTATGCATGTCGATTCCACGTACAAGGCATTATGCTAAGTACGCTCCCATGGGACCTCATCTCCACGACATATTGATCGCAAATCCTGCTCCCGCAACGCACGTCCTCTGGCATGGAATTGGGCTGGTAAGCGTGAGCCGGAAGGTACTTCAGTACCCACCTACTTATACACCATTTCCACGAGCTTCAACGTGAGTGTATTCGTATTCTTCTCGTGGGGCCGTGGTAATGACGAACGTGGCGCTTGTCGCCCCACCTCGAGATTCGACTCAGTCGAGGTTCTCCGTCCTCACTCACATTTTCATCCTCCTACAAAGGATGACCGTACCACACTTAACTAAGCTTTACTTTGCACTTCTCCTCTCATGGCTCGTTATCCAGCGCACGGTCAAATACCACACCCACGGGCCCCCGCATCCCGCCTGGGGCCTCTTCCTCGACCTCGTCTGCTCCTCCTCCCGTCTCTACTTTGCGCTCGCCGAGGGGCACATGCGCGACGTCTTCCTCCAGGCTGACGTCCACGCCCCGTCCGCTCCCGACGATGCCGCGGACACCCCGCAGTTCAACGACAACGCCTGGAGGCCTAAGCCGCGTGTGCAGCGTTTGGCGGGCGTGGGCACGCGCATCAACCCCGTGCGGCTGCGCAGCGTCTCTGAAGAGTGGAGGCGCGGTGGAAGTACCCGCGTTTTGGGTTATCCGTGAAGAAGCGGACGTCGTCCCGGATGCGCCGGCACGCGAGGGGGAGAAGGTCATCATGTACCTGCCTGGAGGTGGTATCCACGTGTGTGCACCTCAAAGAGCAGGATATATTGGCTGCTCACGTTGCGGTGTATAGCCCATGACAAGCCCGGTGTCGTACGCGCTCTCACTTACCACGAGCGTGCGCGTACTGGCAGTCACCTATCGCGCTGCCAAGTCTCCGGCGACTGCATTCCCCGCAGAACTGCTCGATGCCCTTGCTGGTTACGTGCATCTGACCAACATTGGGTTCCACTCTTCCAACATTATCCTCGTGGGCGAGAGCGCGGGCGCATTTGCGCTTCTCGCACTGATGCGCTACCTTAGTGAGCTCCGCGCAGACGAGGCATCACAGGTCCACCCAGGTATGGTCGGTGCCGCTGCGTTGGCCTCGGTACGTCTGTCCACGAACATTCAAAGACACGTCTTCTCACACGAGCATGGAGGCAGCCAGCGTGCAACCTCTCGCGATTCGACCATCCCGAGATTGAGACGGACTACAGGCTCCCTCACTACAGGAAACACCTTGTCCCCGCGCTCGCACGCCACTTCGACCTCGAGCACCTGCGCGAGTCGCTCTACTTCGCTCCTGCCCTCGCGCAACCCGAGCAACACGCCTTCGCGCACCTC